TGTCAGCACCTGGGCAGCCGCCAGCCAGGACGGGAGGGGGAGGGAGGGAGGGGGGAGAAGGGGTGTGTGGGGAGAGTCGAGGCACCGGCCCAGGAGGGATTCACATCCAGCTGTCACCACTGCCACCCTCAGACACCATCAGGGTGGGTTTCCGTGTGTCCTCAGCGGCTGTACCGAGATGCACTGCTTTTATAATTAGAACGAGCAATCAAGTGTAAATGGAGAAGAAAAGCTGCAAAGGACACGTCTTGATATGCTCATCACTCAGCCCTGAGCTCCCCAAAGTGGCTGGTGCACGCGGACACAGGAAGGCGCCCTGGTGGCGCAGCAGTTCAGCTCTCGGCTGCCAACTGCGGGGTGGTGGCGCGTCCCGACCCAGCCCCTCCGGGAGAGGAAGACCTGATGATGTGTTCATCACGAGAACAAGCACGTCACCATGTGGACACACAGCTGCCACCTGCCCACACACCTGCCGCTGACAGCCGTGTGGCACACGGTTCTGCCGTGACACACATGGGGTCCCCGAGAGTCGGCCGGTGACGCAGGAGAGCGCCTGTGGGCTGCGCTGCATGCCCCCACCCCCGCCGTGAGGAGGAGCCAGCCTCGGACCTGCGGTGTCTGCACGTGTGCCGGCCACATGTGGCCACTTAAATGTAACTGGAGTAAAATGAAATTAGATTTGGAATTCCCAGGCTAGGTAGTAGTAGCCACACGGCCGGTAACACAGAACACTCCCCCGCAGTGAGCGCCACGGGCAGCCCCTGCACAGACGGCCGCCCACAGCTTTGCTTGCACTGCAGCTATCTTTGGGTGCCCTCCTATTGAGGGCACACCGGATTCTCACTCGTGGTGGTGAATGAAACTGACCTTTCCAACTACATGTATCGAGCAGCTTGGTCTAAAGATGAGAAACAACGGGGAAAGTGGAAGGGTGGATGGCCTGCAGGGTGGTGGTCGTGAAGGGCTGTGTGGGACCAAGCAGGGGCTCCGGCCTCCAGGAGGGAGCCCGCCCACTCCAACCCCGCCCCCCACCCACAGCCTGACCTCCACTACACGCCCCCCGTCTCTCCCCCAGCCTTTCCGTGCACTCCTCCACGCCCCATGCATTTCCCCGTCTCCCATGTGCCCTTCTCTTGCATGCCCTGTGTCCCCCGTGTGCCCATCTCCCGTGTGCTCCATGTCTCATGGCCTCGCCTCTGGTGTGCTCTATCTCCCGTGTGCCTGTCCCCCGTGCGCCTGTCCCCCACGTACCTGTCTCCCATGTGCTCTCTCCCAGGTGCCCCCTCTCTCCCGTGTACCCCATGTCCTGTGGGCTCCATCTCCATGGGCCCCATGTCTCCTGTGTGCCTGTCTCCCTATGACCATCTCCCCCAGTGTTCTCTCTCCCATGTGACCCACGCCCTCCTACAGCACATCACAGGGGCAGTGGGTAAAGAGGGCACGTGTGGGGACTCTGAGCCTGCATCTGACACTTGGTCCCTGTGGCTCACTCCCCTCCCCTGAAGAGATTCCCGCAGCGTCTGCCCCACACAGTGCCTACCCCACAGGCGGCCTGCTCTGCCCTCCAGCCCCAGGCAAGCCCCGTCCCAGCCAGTGCTCAGCATCAGCGTCTCCATGGCAGCAGGTGGCGCTGTGAGCAACCCTAACCTGCCCAGATTAAGGGCACTGCTATGCGGGGCCCGCCCTGGACCTCGGGGACCTATTCAGGGGTATCTGACTCTGGGTGTCACCTGAGCCGTGAGTGGGACCCCGTGTGGGCTCTGGCCCTGGTGTTACCCTGAACCCTAAAGGGACCCCATGTGAGCTCTGACCCCAGCTGTCACCGTGGAGGGACCCCATGTGAGTTCTGACTGACCCCAGGTATCACCATGGAGGGACCCCATGTGGGCTCTGGCCCTGGGTGTCACCCTGAGCCTTGAAGGGACCCCATGTGACCTCTGACCCTGGGTGCCACCCTGCAGGGACCCCATATGGCCCCTGACCCCAGTGTCACCCTAAGCCCTTGAAGGACCCCATGTGAGCTCTGACCCCAAATATCACTGTGGAGGGACCCCATGTGAGTTCTGACCCCAGGTATCACTGTGAAGGGACCCCGTTTGGGCTCTGACCCGAGTGTCACCCTGAGCCCTGGAGGGACCCCATGTGAGCTCTGATCCTGGGTGTTACCCTGCAGGGACCCATGTGGGCTCTGGCCCTGGGTTAGGGTTAGGCCCTGAAGGGACCCCATGTGAGCTCTGACCCTTGGTGTCACCCTGGAGGGACCTGTGTGGGCTCTGGTCCTGGGTGTCACCCTGAGCCCTGAAGTGACTCCATGTGAGCTCTGACCCCAGGTATCACTGTGAAGGGAACCCATGTGAACTCTGACCCCAGGTGTCACTGTAGAGGGACCCCCAGTGGGCTCTGACCCTGGGTGTCACCCTGTAGGGACCCATGTGGGCTCTAGCCCTGGGTGTCACCCTGAGCCTTGAAGGGACCCCATGTGAGCTCTGACCCTGGGTGTCACCCTGGAGGCACTTGTGTGGGCTCTGGGTGTCACCCTGAGCCCTGGAGGGACCCCGATGCTGGGATGCAGCCCTACTGCAGCCTGCTGGGCCTCGGAGGACGGGGTCCAAAGGCGCTCTCTCCTCTCTGGTGGGCAGGGGTCCCTCCCCACTAGCTGCCCTGAGAGGTCCCAGCCTGACGAGCAGCCCTGCTGGCTGGAGAAGGAGAGTGGGTCCCCTGTCAGCACCTGGGCAGCCGCCAGCCAGGACGGGGGGCCCGTTAACCTCCGTGTGACTCCGTGGGCTGTTCATGGGCTGGCGCGACTCCCTCCTCGGGGCCTCATCCAGGTCGCACCCCCAGCCACATGGAAGGATACTGAAGCTGCGGTCCGTGATGGCCAAGTGCCACAGGTTGATGCGCAGGTCATCAGCTGACATGTACGTCTCACAGTCGCTGTTGACGGAGATGGAGTTAATGTGGTAGGTGTGGCCGTTGGCGAAGACCCTCCTCGGGCTCACCTCCACCATCAGTTCCATGGGCTTCAGCACCGGCACCTGCCAGGGGACGGGGGTGGGGGTTAGGGCTGCACAGCAGCTGCCACAGGACGGGGGGCGGTGTTAGGGCCGGACGGCACCTGCCAGGGGACGGGGGGGTTAGGGCCAGACGGTACCTCCTACAGGACAGACGGGTTAGGGCCAGACAGTACCTCCTATGGGACAGACGGGTTAGGGCCGGACGGCACCTGCCACAGGACAGGGGGGTGGTGTTAGGGCCAGATGGCACCTGCCAGGGGACAGGGCAGGGGGTTAGGGCCGGACAGCACCTGCCACAGGATGCGGCAGGCAGTGGGTAGGGCTGGGCAGTACCTGCCACAGGACGGGGGTTTAGAGCAGGGGCCACTAAGGGGGGGGGGCAGCAGGCAATGAGGTGGGGGAAGTGTAAGCTACGGGCCAGAACACCGAGGTGGGGGTCCGTCAAGAACAAATAGAAAACAAGGGTCTCCCCAGCCCAGGGAGAAGGCCCCCCACTAAGTCTGGAGGGATGCCAGGCCCCCAGTGTCTGGCTCCTCACTGGGACAAGGGGGCCAACAGCCTGCAAACCCTCATGGCCCCCTCCACAGCACAGAGTGTCCCTGAGGTGGCTGCCCAGGCAGGGGCCCCACTCCCAGGCCCTGCACCCGTGGGGCTGGCACCTGTTCTCCCCAGGAAAGTGGGCAGCTGTGTAGCACACGCAGGCACAGGGAGACAATGGTCGTTATTTGGTTAGAAGGGATTTATAGAGCTGAAGGTTAGCAAGTTTTTTTTGTTTTGTTTTTGTTTTTTGCCAACCCCACGATCCCTGCTATACCTGAGCCCATCGTTGCAGCTACCATGTCAATCCATCTCATTGGGGGCCTTCCCCTTTTTCGTTGACCCTCCACTTTACCAAGCATGACATCCTTCTCCAGGGAATGGTTCCTCCTGACAACGTGACCAAAGTAGGTGAGACGAAGTCTGGCCACTCTTGCTTCCAAGGAGCATTCTGGCTGCACTTCCTCCAGGACAGGCCTGTTCGTTCTTCTGGCGGCCCATGGGACTCTCAGCATTCTTCACCAACACCGCAATTCAAAGGCATCAATTCTTCTTTGGTCTTCCTTGTTTATTGTCCAGCTCTCACATGTATGTGAGGCGACTGACAGTGCCATGGCTTGGGTCAGGTGCACCTTAATCTTCAAGGAGACATCTTTGCTCTTCGGCACTTGACAGAGGTCTTTTGCAGCAGATTTGCCCAGAGCTATACGTCGTCTGATGTCTTCACTGCTGCTTCCATGGGTGTTGACTGTGGATCCCAGTGAAATGAAATCCCTGACAACTTCAATCTTTTCTCCATTTACGATGATGCTTATTGGTCCACTTGTGAGGATTTAGAAATTAGGTTAGTGGGGTTTTGATGGATGAATAGGAGTTCACCAGATGGACAAGGTACAAAAAGGTCTCCTTGGGCTCCACGGCCCCTGGCCCCAGTCACTGTGTGGCCACCCTGTGGGGGTGTTACCAGGTGTACTTTCCCAGGGCTGGGAGCACACTGGGGGTGGGGATGAGCCTTACTGGCTCATCTCTGAGGCCTGGGCCAAGCACAGGGCAGGTCTCAGCAGGTGATGGTGTGTCTGCACAAAGTACGCGGGTTACACAGAAAGCACTCGGCTAGAATGGCTCGGGGGAGCTGGGGAAAATGAGGGTGACCCGGGCCCCAGACTCCTTCCCCCCTCTTCTTCTCCAGCCTCAGCTTACCATCCTCGCAGTCTTAGCTGGGGAGGGGCACCGTACAGAGACAATCCCAGAAGCTGGAGGGGAATGAGCGGGACTCCCGGAGGCCTCAGGCACAGCTGCCAAATGCCAGGCCAGACGAGAGATGGTGGCCGAGCCCACCCCAAACAAAGCCCTCACTGGCACCTGGGCAGGGAAGATGGGCACCAGTGCCCGGTCGCTCCACACCGAAGCTTGCCAGCCTCCACCTCTGCAGTCACCTGGAGGCCAACCTGCCCAAATGTACATTGCTCCTTCCCCAGAACAAAGCTGACGACGGTCGCATCAACACCACCACCCCAGCATGACTGCACAGCTGCTTGGGGCATGGGCAGGGCGTGGGCAGGGAGTGGCTGGCTGTCTCTAGAGTGGCCATCTGACCCGAGGGAGATGGGACCTTGGGGACATGGCCTGCTCCTCCGAATCCCGTTGGCTGAGGAGGCAGTCACCTCCCTGTGTCACCGTGCCTCCCAACTGGCACTGGGCACCTCCTCTGAGCCTGGCGTGCCCCAGGGCTATGGACTTAGGACAGAGCCCCCCTGCCACCCCCCACGGCCATCTGGTTCTGCTCGCTGCGGCCCAGTGCCCGGGGCAGGGCCGGCTCCCAGCAGTGACGCAGGTCACTCCTACCTCGCTATCCAGCAGCACGGCCTCGGCAAACATGTGCCAAGTTCCCGCAACGCGCCAGGCCCAGTTCTGGAAGCAGGGACAGCGAGGCGGCCTCTGGTGTGCTGCCCACCCTGCTGGAGGAGGAGCGAAGCCTCGTCCATGGAGCCCTTGCCACACAGCTGTCCTTGAGGCGGTGACCCACATCTCACTTCACGGAACAGACCAGAACACACAGTCTGGGGCTGGCTTTGCCTCGGTTTGGACCCAGCTTCGACACTCACTGTCTGTGTGCCTTGGGTCAGCTCCTTCTACCCCTCAGTCTTTCCATCTGTAGGATGGGGCTGAAGGAACAGTACCCAGCCAGCAGGGCTCTGGTGAGCACTGAAGGGGCTACGCCAGGCAGGGCGGTTGGAAGGCACCCCACTTGCTCCAGATGAGGCATCCAGGCTCGCTGGCTTACACTGCTGGGGAGTGGCTGAGGCAGGAAGTGAACCCAGGACCTGTGACTTGGGTGCCTCTCCACTGGGAAAGACAAGCCCTTTGCCTTTGGACAGTGTTGGGGACAAGGGCTCTGGGTGGCTCTGTGGCTCTGCTCCCGCCCACTGACATCAGCTGCAACCTTTCAAGTGAAACCAAAAGCCAAACTCACTGCCATTGAGTCGGATCCGACTCACAGTGACCCCTCCTGGGGTTTCCAAGGCAGTATCTCTATGGAAGTAGATTACCCAACCTTCTTTCCGAGGAGTGGCTGGTGTGTTTGAACCACCAGCCTTCTGGTTAGTAGTCAGATGCCTTAGGCACTGCACCACCAGAGCTCCCCCTTTCAAGCTGGACCTTTGTAAAAGCTGCCCTCTGTCCCCACTGGGAGTGCACAGGGCCCAGCCAACAGCCTCCTGGGGCTCTGCCCCCAGCTTAGCTGAGCAGCTCTGAGAGAGGTACTGCCTCAGTCTCCCCCTTTGTGCAGGACTTACTCTCTAGCCTCCATTAGGAGTGAAAACTCCTAAACTCACTTGCGTCGAGTCAGTTCCGACTTGTGGTGATGCCACATGTCACAGAGGACAGTGGCCCCATAGCGTTTCCTGGGCTGTAACCTTGACAGGAGCAGATCACGAGGGCTTTCTTCCATGGAGCCGCTGGGCGGGTTCCAACCACCAGCCTTGAAGCCAGCAGCCCCTGGATGGCTCTTTTCTCACAAGACCCCCAGGAATGAGGCAGCAGGGAATGCCCATGGTCACCCAGCCAGAAAGCAGCCTGCCAGGACTGGACCATGGCTCCTGGTTTGCTCATCGTTAGTGAGAAGACGATGGGCACACTCCGGCTGCTGGGACCACCCTGTCCCACATCTCACCTGTAGGGACGTCACTGTGGAGAGGTCCTTGAGCCTCCCCTCCTCATCTTTCAGGTTGTAGCCTTCTGGTCTTTTGTCACGCTCAGTTATCTTCCACAATTTGATCGTTTTGTCTTTAAAAACAACAAAGTAACATGAGACACATAAGTAACGTCAGCACAAAGCATGAACAGCACAACAGGCTGAACAGTCAGGTGTGTCAGTGTGGGGGGAGTGAGTCCACGACCACGGATAGGGCTGGCAGACAACGTTACTACAAGTGCATTGGTATGTTCTGTAAGAATGTCCAGGTGTATAGTAGAGCTGACAAGTGACAAGGTTGCAGTCACTTCTTGGGCACAGCCAGCTACCCAGAGGGACTGAGTAGTTGGACCTGTGGCTCAGGACCACAGTCACAGGGGACATCAAGCTCAATTGGCATAACATACTACACAAAACATTGTTCCACCTCCTACTTTGGTGAGTAGCAACTGGGACCTTAAAAGCTTGTAAGTGGCCATCTACATGCAACGATGGGTCATTCCTCATCCAGAGCAAAGAAAAATGAAGAAAACCAAATACACATGGAAACAATTACTCCAAGCGACTGGTACAGCATGCAATCCGCAGCCTATGAGACCAGAAGAACTAGATGGTGCCTGGCTACCACTGTCAACTACTAGGAGAGAGATCTATGTAGGAGATCCTGGATAGAGAAGAAGAACAATGTGGAACAAAACTCAAAATCATTTAAAAAAAAAAAAAAAGACCAAGTTTACTGGTCTGATAGAGCCTGGTGAGACCCCAAGACTATGGCCCCTAGTTACCCTTCAGGTCTGGAACTGAACCCACTCCTATGGCTTCAAGCCAAACGACAGACAGGCAGATGGGGTGAACATCTACATCAGGTAGATACACTCCTTGGAGTGATCAATCATGGGAGTACAGAAGGGCAGTGTTTGCACAGGGAGACAACTTGGGACAGGGTGCAAGGGAGAGAAGGACCCAGGGAGGAGGTAACTACAGGGAGGAAGTGGGAAGAGAACTGTTACATTGTGGGGAATTGCAGTCAATGTCATGAAACAAGATGTGTACGAGCTCTGCATGGAAAATAAATTTGCTCTGTAAAGTTCCACCCAAATCACAATTTAAAAAAAAGAAAAATAATGGAGCAGCCACTTGAGTCAGCTAGGTAGTGATGCCTCAATCCATAAGCCATCAGCCAGCAGTTGGACAGGCAGATTCTGCTAATTTTAATCGTTACGTAGACTAGCACGATGACCACGTTTGCATATGGGACCTTTCTCTTCATTCTCTCTTATTCCCCCATGCCTGATTCCTAAAGCTGAGAGCCTGGGTCAAAGGGCACAGCACTTCTAAGGAAGGTATTTATCTCTAAACTGATTTCCAGAAAGACTGCAGCAAGTTCGCGTCCTGCTCTTTGAAGACCTTTCACAGACACACAGGGAGGATGACCTGTCGGCTAATTCTGACTGGGGACATCCCTCCAACCCGAAGCTCAGCTCTCCAGCTTCCTCATTCCTCTGGAATCCGGCCAAGACACCAGAGGAGGCTACCCAGCCCAGCGTGTGCACGAGAAGAAAGGAAAGGGAGCCAGTCTCAGTCAGGCCTGTGAAGGCTGCTGACGTCAGGCAGGCCCGTGATGGGCACCCAAGTCACACAGATAGATGTGAATGCAACCAACAGGCTAGAACCAGATTAATGACCACGTGCTATGGTTCAAACAACTGTGGAGTATAAGCTTTGACAACGGGCCGCATCGCCCAGCACCCGCACACCCTCGTGAGCGCCAATCTCCAGCCTGGGAAGCTCGGGACTCTGGGGGCGGGGCTGAAGCCAAGTTTGTGTCAAAACCCAAAATCCAAATCCACTGCCATCGAGTCCATTCCGACCACAGTGACCCCACAGGACCCAAGGTCTTACAGAGCAGACTGCCTAGTCTCTCTCCTGCACGGCGGCTGCTGGGTTCAAACCCCTGACTTTCTGGTTAGCAGTTGGACACCTTAGCCACAGCAGCACCAGAGCTGCTCACATTTGGGCCAAGTCTCCACTTATTGGTCTCCTTAGGAATGGAAGCTCCTCCCACCCCCAACGGAAAGTACTGACAAAGATGCTGAAGAACATGCTATTGCTGATAGTGGGAATTGCCAGGGCCCAACACGGAGAAATGGCACTGGACGCGTCATCACAGTCACTGATGAGAGGCCTGTGCCATGCAGAACAGTGATTTTGAGGGAGTTCTACCTAGAAAAAGGCTCACAGTACGTGAGGTGAAAATAGCACCTGAGGACAAATCGCTATCACACACTTATACACACGTGCACACATGCATACACACATTCAAATACTACACATAATAACATATGTGTGCAGACACAGGAACACACACTGCACACACATGTGCATGGACACACATACATATATGTAGATATTTAGACATGCACATGTGCACATGTGCACATCCCACACATACATGTTTGCGCACGTGTGCACATATGCAAACACAGACATGCACACACCATATACACATACACATGTTTGTATACATATGCACATACACACATGCACGTGTATACTTCTACATACACACATGAGCATGAATATGCACACGTACATACCTGCAGATATGCACTTATGAGCATACACTACACATTCACACATGTACAGAAATACACACACATGCACATCCACATATTCACACACATCCACACATAATATAATATACACACACATATAAATGTACACACACACAGATGAACATACACACATACACACATGTATGCATATGCATACACACATGCGTGCACCACATGTATGCACACACATAGGCACATGCACTCACATGTGGACAGCAGCCCCTCACTGTCTGTGGACAGCAGGGCATGGGCAGCATTCTGCTGCAGCAGTCACATGATGACCAAACATTCACACATGTGCACAACACTCACACATGTGTATATATTCATACATATGCACGCACACTCATACCCACACACAGACAACAGCCCTCACTGTTGTTGGACAGCAGGGCATGGGCAGTGTTCTGTGGCAGCCATGTGATTATCACATATTCCCGCATGTGCACACACACACACACAGCTACATGAGCACGGACAGCAATCCTCACTGTGGGTGGACAGCAGGGTGTGGGTGGTGTTCTGCTGTGGCAGCCATGTGATCACCACACATTCACACACGTGCACACATATGCGCACATCACAAAATGTATGGACAGCACCCTCACAGTTGGTGGCCAGCAGGGCTTGGGCTGTGTTCTGCTGCGGCAGCCATGTGATCACCACACAATCACACACGTGCACACATGTTCCCACACACATACACATGCACAGACAGCGCACACACACATATATATGCACAGAAAGCGCCCTCACCGTTGGTGGCCAACAGGGCGTGGGCGGCGTTCTGCTGTGGCAGCCACTTGATCTTGTTGATCTTCTCCTCTATCTCCAAGCTCTTGAGGTAGTCGAACTCGGGCTCGTGGCTCTGGAAGGTGCTGTACACATCATACTCGCCCTGGCTGTGGGGCGCATTCTTGCTCTGCAGGGAACCCAGAGAAGGGGCTGAGGGCAGGCAGTCGGGCACATGGTGGGGAAGAACAGGTAAGTCCATCCAAGGGGGCCATCCTGAGGGCCAGAGGCCACTCTGCATGTTCATGGGGCTGACTGCTGGCTGTGCACCTCGTCCCTTGACAGTGAAGGCCGAAAAATTGGGAACTGAGCCAGCTCCGGGTACTGAGCTCAGACATGGGTCAGCACAGTGCCCAGCACTGGCGGCTCTCAGTGTCCTCACAACCCTCGAGGCCAACACGTCCCCGTTTTACAGACAGCAACCCACCTGAGGCCAAAGGGCCACTAAGTGGGCAGTCTTTCCATGGGAGTCTGCAAGAAATCATGCCAGGGCTCTGACACCCTCCCTGTGGATCTGACCTCCCCCCACACATGGCTCTGACATCTCCCTTCATGGTTCTGACATCCCCCCAAGGCTCTGACATCCCCCCAAGGCTCTGACCACCCCCTGTGGATCTGACACCCCCCCCCCACGGCTCTGACATCCCCCCAAGGCTCTGACATCTCCCCATAGCTCTGACCCTCCCCATGGCTCTGACCACCCCCTGCAGCTCTGACCCCCATTTTGTGTCTCTGATGCCCCTCCCCATGTCTCTGACCACCCCCTGGAGCTCTGACCTCCCTCATGTCCCTGCCCTCACATTTCTGACTGTGCCCAGGTGCTTAAGAAACAAAAGGCCTGTGGGAGCCGACTCTGTGGGGCAGGATATCCCTTGACCTCAGACCCAACCGTCCATCCTGCTTAGGGTGCAGAGCACCTGAAGTTAAGGACGCTCCTGGTGGAGCCCAAATGAAGGCCGAGTCCATACTGTGGAGCAGGGATTTCGTCCCCTGGGAAACTCAAGTTTCGATGACAACATAAAATCACCACCAGAGGCAGACCTACTGGGACCCAAACGAAGGCTGGGAAACAACACTCTGGCCCTAGTTAACTTCCATGTGGTCGGCCCTGAGGTCTGGACACTGTCCCGGCCTTGGTTAACTTCTACAAGGTCTGCTGTGATATCCGGATGCTATCCCAGCCTTGGTTAACTTCTACGTGGTTTGCTGTGATGTGTGGATGCTACCCTGGCCCTGGTTAACTTTCACAAGGTCTGCTGTGATGTCTGGACACTGTCCCAGCCTTGGCTAACTTTTCTTTTTTTTTTTTTTAGATGTACTAAAGTTCTGTTTATTCAAAAAATCTCATTTATTTAAGATTCAAACTCACAGGTATGTTGTAAAAACTGAAAAATCAAACAGAATCATTTCTATTTTTCACTATTTTAATGTGTTCTTATCTAAGATTTTAAAAAAAAAGATGAGCACAATTCAATTATTTCAGTTTCTTAACTGCCCTTTCTTTATTTTAAAAAAGTATCAGAATATTTGAAATTAATAATATTGTAAAGCAAGATTAATAGGGAGTTCCAGAAAGATGGCGGACTAGGCAGAAAGACTGCACAGACCCCCTTCAACACAGAAAAGGGAAACCAATTAACACAAACACAGAAGATAACCCTGGACCCCTAAGCCTTGAAGGAAAAGATATAGAAGTGGACTAAACCCCAAATAGCAGAAGAATTTGTGTGAAAATACAAAAAAAGGAGACACACAGAGCTGTGGTCTGGCAGCGATCCTGAGCGATCCTGACAGCACAGACAGCTTGGAGATTCCCAAGTGGTGGTAGGACCTAAGAATTAACCTAAAAATCACCCTGCTAGCCAGGGACTGCAC